CCTGTTCTCTGGACGCTGCTGTCCCCTGCCTGCTGCTCCTATGGCCCACCCGGATGGCGCTTCACATCTTCTGAAATTGTCATCCCCAGGAAGGTGCCCCATAGAAAGGGCGGAATTAAGATGCCAGACCAGCTCGCCTACAGCATGCGCTTCCGGGGTCAAAGACACGTGTTCCACATGAAGCTCAAGAAGAACTTGCTGCCCAGACATTTACCTGTTATTACTGACAACAACCAAGAAGGCATGCAGGAGGACTATCCCTTTCTCCCTGGAGACTGTTACTACTACAGCTACCTGGAAGGGGTCCCTGGATCCCTGGCCACACTGGACACCTGCCATGGAGGTCTGCGTGGAAGGATACAGGTGGATGACTTCACTTATGAAATCAAGCCACTGGAGACCTCTTCTACATTTGAGCATGTGATTTCTCTGCTCGTGGCGGAAGAGAGAGGAGAGGCCAGCCAAAGGTGTGACATTGGAGAGGAAGAAACCAAACCAGTATTTGAAGACCTCGAACTGCTTGGAAGTCCTAGAGCAGGCACCTATTATTTGTGGCGGAAACATCCAAAAGACACGCGAGTTATGTACATCGTTTCTTATTCCTACATCAACCACTTCAAAAATCAGACCCTTGTACTGGAGCATGTAATGATTATAAACAGCATTGTAGACAGCATTTACAAACCAACTGGTTTTAACATCCGTGTGCGTTTCGTGTTGCTCTGGGATACTACAGATGGTGTCAGTTTGGAAACAAAGAATGCATTTGTCTTCTTAAGAGCTTTTGGGATGTGGATGTACAGCAAATGGCAAAATAAAGTTAGTCATAGCATCTCAGTGCTTTTAGCAGGACAACTGATTGCAGAAAAGAATCATTATGCTGTTCAGGGAGCAATATGTAATGACAGGTGGGCGGTATTGTTTGTGGCTGCAAGAAGATTTCATGTATTTTTGGCTTCGACTATGATAGCACATACATTAGGTCATCAATTTAATATGCCACACGACTCACCTCATTGCCTTTGTTTTCGAAGGACCCATTGTCTCATGACTCCTGTGCCAAATCTTCAAGATACAATTAGCAATTGTTCTTTTCCAGCAACGCACCAATGGGTTCTTAAATGGGACACTTGCATGTGGCAGCTGAATGTTCCCTATGAAAGTTTTCGTTATGTAGCTCCTCGTTGTGGAGACAAGATCATAAATCAACTGGAGGACTGTGACTGCGGCTCCTTCAAAGAATGTTCCAGTGATAAGTGTTGTGGGACTGACTGCATGTTCACACCAGGCTCCAAGTGTAATGAAGGAGACTGCTGCCTGGACTGCAAATTCTCTCCCCCTGGAACGATTTGCAGAGACATAGGGGGTATTTGTGATCTGACAGAATACTGTGATGGAAAATCGGAGAAATGCCCAAATGACACTTACATTCAGGATGGAACCCCATGTTCCCCACGAGCTGTTTGTATGAGAGGAAACTGCAGCGATCGTGAGACACAGTGCCAAGCCCTTTTTGGACGCAACATAAAAGATGGTGCAGCAGAGTGCTATAAACAATTGAATATGATTGGTGACCGATTTGGAAACTGTGGTATTAGGTCCCGACGAGGGGGACCTCTGATTTTGAAATGTAGCGAGGAAAACTTTATGTGTGGCATGCTGCACTGCAGTGGTCTGTCTAGTATTCCGGGGGGAGGGGAGCACACTGCTTTTCGCCATATAAGTGTGCGATACGAGCAAGTAGAGCACCATTGCTTTGGATATGATGCACACTTTGGCACAGAGCTGCCACAAATGGGTATGGTAGTGGATGGTGCAATGTGTGCCCCAGGAAGGTTCTGCCTTCAGAAGAACTGTACCTCTCATCTCGATTTGAATTTTGACTGTGATGTGAGAAGATGCAATTATAAAGGGGTGTGCAACAACAACCACAATTGTCACTGTATGCCTGGCTGGAAACCACCAACCTGTGAAGAGAAAGGAGAGGGAGGTAGTGAAGACAGTGGCCCACCCACAGGCAGACAACAACGTCTTCGAACCTATATACATGTGGATATGCACAGAATAATCCCTCTAATGCTAGCTCGTTTAATTCTGTATCTGCTTTCCATTCTTGCTGGTGGAATCCCAGCGCTAAAAAGTGCTGTCACAAATCACATAGTTAAAGCTGTACCTGAAGAAAAGCCACCCAAGAAGCCACCTAAGTAAATATTCATGGAGCTGTATTATGGACTCACACTGTGACTAGCTGGAAGGAATAATCTATGATCACTCTGACAATTACATTGTGTTTATACATTCTGAGTTGTCATCTTGAAATAAAATCATGGAAGAGTGAAAGTCGGACTTTGGTTTTAAATATATGCCACACTTCCTTTTTGGTTTCTTTTTTTTTTGGGGGGGGAGGGGTCTGGTTGTGGGTCTGAACTCTGGGCCTGGGTGCTGTCCTTCAGCTCTTCAGCTCAAGGCTAGCACTCTACCACTTGAGCCACAGCGCCACTTTCAGCTTTTTTTCCTGCTTATGTGGTGCTGAGGAATCGAACCCAGGGCCTCAGGCATGCAAGGCAAGCGCTCTACCACTGAGCCACCTTCCCAGCTCCCCTTTGGGTTCTTTTATCTCACTTTACCTCACCTCACTTTTCCCTTCTCTCCCCTTCCCTCTCCTTGCCTTTCCTTTCCCTCACATCCAGTGTCCTCTTTTTTTTTTTTTTTTTTATCTATATCAGTCTAGGCCTTGTTCTTGTCAGGCAACTGCTCTACCACTGAGCATTCTCCAAACTGTCCTCATGTGCCTTTCATCTCTCCTGTAGATGAAACAGGAACTTAGATTAACTATCATGTAGGCTTGTGCATATTTAAATTATGAGCTCTAGATACCCTGCCTCATGTTTACGTTGCGTTACAAGGAGCTAGTATTAACAATTTTATGATTTGTTTCCAGTTCATTTGTTTTATTATTTGTCCATTTTTGTTAATGTGAAACATAAGCATAAAGAGTGGCATTTGCCAGTGATATGTATGGGAGGCTGTAATAAACTTTTGTGTTATAGCCATTTGCAGTTTCCATAGTGGTTCTGAAACCTACTATGTAGTTATAGGAAAGTGTTAATCTACTAGAATTTCAAGGACTATAATATTTGGAAATTATTAAACCTCTCTGGACATAATCAAAATCGATGACAGGCCCTAAGGAAAGTAAGTTTTGCATCTGGTCTGTGCTGGCTGCTGCTGTATTTCTGGTATTTTTTTTTTTTTGTGGCTATTTTAAATTTGGAATATTGCCTCCATAATACCACTGACTTTATATCGCTATTAAACCATCATATAATGAACAATGGCCCATAATACAGCACTTCTTTTTTTTTTTTTTTTGGTCCGGTTGTGGGGCCTGAACTCTGGGCCTGGGCGCTGTCCCTCAGCTCTTCAGCTCAAGGCTAGTGCTCTACCTCTTGAACCAACAGCGCCACTTCCGGCTTTTTTTCTTTTTGCTTATGTGGTGCTGAGGAATCGAACCCAGGGCCTCAGGCATGCAAGGCAAGCGCTCTACCACTGAGCCAACTTCCCAGTCCAATACAGCACTTCTTAATGTTTTGGATGTTTGAATTCATACGATTTAAATGAAAGGAAACAAGCAGTATCACTTTGAAATAGTTCATTTATGGGTGTGGGGCAGAGAGAGGTCTTAAAGGTAAGGATTGCTGAGTGTTATGGTTTATCACTTTAATCTCATCATGGGAAATAAGTTGCTAGAAGGATCAAAGCTTAAATTGGCTTGAGATAATAAGAAAAAGGGCTGGGCCTGACTCAAGTGACAGATAATGGCCTTAGCAATTGTAAGAACAAATTCATTGCCAGAACCAAAGTATGAAATGCCTTCTTTTCATTTTCATTATTATTGTTGCTATTTTGTTATTAATAAGTAGTTGTACAAAGGCTTACAATTCTATAAATCAGGTTATGAGTACAGTGTTTTTGGTCAATGTCATCTCTCTTCATTCTCCCCTATTGAGACCTTTTCTCTTTAACAAAGATTTCCTATCAAATCTTTCTCAAAATAAGGCTTCTTAGGGGTGTTTGTGGCGGAGGGGGGGGGGGGAAGTAGCCAACAAATCAAAGAGAATGGATGCAAAAGTAGGGCATTGGGTGGTTGCTATCTACCTTACATTTTGTCTATAATTTAGAAGTCGGTTTCCTCTTGCCCATGACCTAAAGGTGTAAGTACATTTTACTATAGGAAGTTGACAGATTCTTTGTGAATGTATACAGTATTGTTATAGCTGATTACGAGCTTAAAGAAAGAAACTAAAGAAGACATCAAAAGATGAGAAGACATTCCATGCTCATGCCCTGGCAGAATAAATATCAGGAGAATGTCCATACTGTCAAAAGCAATTTATAGAATCAATACCCTTCAAAAATTCCAATAATGTTTCTCATGGGATTAACTAAGTCAATCCAAAATCTATATGGAGGCACTAAAGACCTTGGATAGGAAAAGCAGTTGTAAATAAAAAGAATAGCGCTGGAGGTATCACAATAGCAGCCTTCAAAAACACTTTAGTAACAAAAACACTTTAGTAGTGGTACAAAAACTATCCCAAAGATCAATGGAACAATATAGACGTTCTGGAATAAAACCATAGGGTTTCAGTCAACTAATATTTGGCTAAGAAAGCTGAAACACAATTGTCTAAAATACAAATATCAAGGAAGACAGTGTCCCCTACCTCCTATCATCAGGGGAGGTATACTTACTACATTTTTCCAAGGTCAAAGACACATAAGCTTTGTTTTTCTTTTGTGTGAATGCAGATAATGCAGATGGCCACAAGGGTGAAGTGTCAAAGATGGAACAGCACTACCCTCCTTCAGACTCTCTTCCCTTCCTATCTGCTTTGTGGTGGCAAACTGGAAAGGTTCCTGCCAGCCGCCCCAGGGTAAACTACCACTCCCAGCATCCCTAGCGCGGCCGCCGCTTCCTTTTCCGGTCCGCTGGCAGTGGAAACCGAAAGGGCCGAGCTCGGGACGCGGCGCCGAGCTTGATTCACCTTCACCCCTGCGGCGCGTCCGCCGAGCCTCAGGCGAATCCCGGCGAGCAGTAAACCATGAACGGGAGAGTGGATTATTTGGTCACGGAGGAAGAAATCAGTCTTACTAGAGGACCCTTAGGTAGGTGAGGGAATCAAGGAAGAGCGCGGAGCCCGATCGGGGAATTGCGGAGCGGACGTTTGCGCCGACCCGGCTTGGGAGCGGGCAAGGCCCCGGCCCGGCTCGGGGTTGGGGCGGGCCCGGCCTCGGCCCGGCGCTCTCCACGATCGCTCTCCGCCACGTAGGGACCGCGTTGGGGCGTCCGCGGTGTGCCAGACAGGTGGATATGACGGACACGCGTTCACAGTCCGGTAGCGCTACCCACACACGTCTTCAGAATTGGAGAGGTTTCCGAAAGGCCTGGCTGGCGGTTTGTTGGTTGGTTGTTTTTAAGAGCCAGCGTCCACCCGTCCTCCTGTTGGCTGCGGCAGCCCTCTTCTGAGAGGGATCGATTCGTGGGAACTGCAGCTAACACCGTGGACGCCGAGTGCCCAGCCCCGAGCCAGCGGTCTGCTGCAAGGGGCTCCTCCGCCCCCCTCTTTTCACTCGTGTGAAGTTCAACAGTGTGTAGTAGAGATCAGACTTTTTATGTTGTACAAGTTTCCAAGCCTGATACCACCCCAGAATTACCCAGGGTGGGGTTTTGTTGTTGTTGTTGTTATAGAAAGTAAATGCTGATTCCCAAGTTCCACCGGGAGGGATTCAGATTCAATAAGGATTTTATTATTTTTCTAAACACCCCACGTGATTTTGATACAGCCAGATCCTCACCTTTGCTGCAAGGCTTCCAGGATGAACCTCTTCACCCGACAAGGGCTCTTAACATTGCCGTACGTGCCTTCCTTGGGTTTTGTTGTTTTACTTTACAGCTGGTTAGTTTATCCATAAAGAGTTTTTAGTTGGGGGGGTGGGGGTTACACTACCTAAGGCCACATCTAACTTCTTACTAACTTAAAAAAAATATCTACTGGCTAATAACGGATGCAAGTCTTAGTTTCTCATCTGTAAAACTGGGATGGCTATGGAATATATTTCATAGTGTTGTAAGAATTAAATGAATTCATGTCTGCCCAATATTCAAAAATGGCTGGGCGCTGCTGGCTCCTGCCTGTAATCCTAGCTACTCATGAGGCGGAGATCTGAGAGTCGCAGGAAAGTCTGTGAGATTCTCATCTCCAATAAACTACTCAGAAAAAGCCAAAAGTGGCACTGTGGCTCGAAGTGGTAAGGAGCTATCTTTGAGCACAAAGAGGCTAAGGGACAGCTCCCAGGCCATGTTCATGTTCAAGCCCCGAGACTGGCAAGAAAGAAAAAAAAACAATTAGAATGTATGGTAAGCAGTATATGTTCTCTGTTGTTTTTTGTTTTCAAAACGTATTTTCAAATATCTTGATAAAAGATTTCAGTTCAGTCTATCAGTTAATGAGAACAGTGCATCTTGATTACTCTCCCCCTTCCCCATCTATCCCAACCCCATCCATCCTCTGAAGATACATTTTCCTACTATTGTTATTAATGGATGCATGGCTAGAATGACACTGTAGGTCCTGATAAATATTACATTCAAAGAGTCCTAATTTATCAATTACTGTGAGTTCATTGTCTCTGAAATCCTGTCAGTCCTTTCTGTTCCCTTTTATACCACCTAGAATATCCATCAGCTTTTTTCATCTGAAATTTTGCAGTAGCATAATCACCACTGAGAGATTCTGCCTGCCTGCCCAACCGCCCGCCCTCCTTCCTTCCTTCTTTCCCTTGATCCTTCCTTCCTTCCTTCCTTCCTTCCTTCCTTCCTTCCTTCCTTCCTTCCTTCCTTCCTTCCTTCCTTCCTTCCTTCCTTCCTACCTTCCTTCCTTCCTTCCTGTACTACGTTTTACATTCTGGGCTGTGCTTGCTAGACAAGTATTCTACTTGAATTATATCCCTTTTTTTGGATAGGGTCTTGAATTTTTGACTGTCAGGCTTAGACTGAGATATTCCTTCTTATACCTCCTGGTAGCTGGGATTACAGCAGTTTATTTACTTCTATGTAGTCCCACTTCTTTTTTTTTTTTTTGCCTGGGCTGCCCTCAAAATGCAGTCCTTCCAAGTAGCTGGCTTTATGGGCTTGAATTACCTTGTGCAACAGATTATTCTTTATAAATTATGGCTTTCAGAGCTGTACATACTATATATGTTCCTTCCTGTTGAAAAAAAAATTCCACAGGTCCTGGAGCTTAAAGTTCAATGCTTGGGCACAGTCCCGAAGTTTTTTCTTTGCTCAAGGGTAGCATTCTGTCAGATGGGCCACAGCTCCATTTCCGGCTTTTTACTGGTTAATTGGAGATAAGAGTCACTGACTTTCCTTTCTGGGGCTGCCTTTGAACCATGATCCTTAGAGCTCAGCTTCTTGAAGTAGCTAGGATTACAGGAGTGCCACTGGAACCTGGCTAGCCTTTTTTTTTTTTTTTTTTTTGTTTAACCTAAATATACTATTATCACATTGCCTCAGGTGATGTTCCTGGAGGATTGCTTTTTGCTTCACACTTAAGAAATTAACATTCTTTGACATAGTCTGAATCATTCGCTGATCCTTTGGCATTCCAGGTTCTTCTGACTATGACAGAGCAGAACCCTAATACTAGCTTTCTTGTTAGGTACTAAATACTTTTAGATTTACCCTAACATTGCTAAATCATTGTCTCATGTTCAGTTCATCCTTTACTAAAATTTCTGAGCCTCTTCATCTTGCAGACCTAAAGAAAGTTCCCAGTGTGTACGATGGAGTCATATAGCGCAAGCTTCAGCAGACTAAGTGAAAGTACTTATATCTAGCTAATATAATTTACCCCAATGTGGTTTAATTTCTGTATTGTAGGTGTATTTATACAAAACAAATGGATTTATTTACTGAATAGCTTCTTGAATTTTCCTAAGCATTTTCATGTCTTAGTCATGTCTGTCAGTCAGTGAATTTTCTAAGAGATTAGAGTCACAAGTTTAGGATTGAATTTGTATAAAACTAGTCATTTGAAGTTTGCTTGGTTCAGCTAACAAGAAAAGGTTTCAGATTGCTGCTTATTATTCCCAGAGCTGGTTTCCACAGGTGCTACCCTTCCAGCTTACATACATAATCTTATAGTCCCATAAGATTTCTTTCTACAGGAGAAATGTGAAAAGCCTCTAATTCTAAGTAAGCATTTCTTTTCTTTAACTTCCTATTCAGAGAAATGCTGGTTTAATCGTATAACTGCAAGAATGTGTGCATGCTAATATTTTTTCAGGGACAAGAATCTTGGATATTTAAAGGATTTAGACCCTGTTTGTAATTCATATGAACCCAGTTTGTCTGATAATGCTTGCTGAAAGGGAAAAACAAAATCACAGGAAAATTATGTCAGTGAAGTAAGTGTCTAAGGAGTCAAAAAGAAGCGTGGCATATAGCGTGGCATCTCTCCTGTGCCTGTTTCTCAATTGTGTAATGTGAGGCCTGCTTTGGATCACTTCAGAGATTTCTTCTACTTCAGCAGTTTCTTATTCTTTGACTTATATACATGTGTTACTTTAAATGATTCCTGCCATTTTGGACTAACTGGGGATCTGAAAAACTGTCAAAAGCAGCAGTCACAACTCCAAATGTCTTCAAGGATTGAGCATTTACCTTTTACCCTTTGAGAACCACTGTTTTTTCTTTCTATAGAGTTACTTGATTATAGTCTAAACTTCTCTTTCAGTTTTTCTTTATACAATTTTGATGTTTTTGGGGTTTTTTTGCTGGCCACCAGTGCCCAGCTGTGTATTGTATATTTATACTTTGTATTTTGTCTAGGCTGAACCGATGAATGAGTATATATTTATATCATTATATATACATATATCATTTATATTATATGTAATTTATTTTAAATACTTATGTTTTTATAAATGTATATTTGTACATTGCATTCCTCTGTATATACATATATGTGTATATATCCACATATGTGTACATATATACATACATGTATATACACATGAGCAACCTTGAGAGGTTCTTTAATCCACACTGTTAGATGGAGAAATTATCTGAGAAATGTTAAGGGCTTGCCCCAAATCATTAAGTTTCAAAGGATTTTATATCAGGTCTGTTGATTCTACTTCTTCCTACTACAGTATGCATGCCCAAGGAATTGACTGCTAACCTTTCCCCTGACTATTTTGTTATATCATGCCTTATTCCTGGAGGGATTTGAGGCATCTTAAATGACTAACATGAGCCACAATGGAAAGTTTTTAGATGCTGTTTATAGAGCTGAGGGCATATGAAGGTGAGAACCCCAAAATCAGAAAGCTTATTGAATCCAAGTACTTAAGTCTTTAGAGTCATGTGCTTTGGGTTTAATTCTGAGACTGTTGCTAACAGTTTTCCAATTGGTTGGCTTCTCCCTTTATCGTTAAGTAGATCTGAGACTAAAGTGCTCTATCTTTGCCCAGTTTTCTCTGGATATATGAAATCCAGCACTTAATGGAATTTACAGTATAATAAAGACGTGATAAGAAAAGTAAAATCTTGGTGTATTGGTGCAGATGGTAATGGGCTGTGTGGAACACCAATGTAGCCAAAGGGCTAAGGAAGTAGGAAAGGTAGAAAAGAGCATATAGAATATACTTTCAGTCATACAGAATAGTTGAAAGAATAGAGCTAAGGACCATCTCGTGGTCAATTTGAAAAAGGTTAGACTTAGAGAATTGACAGGTTTTAGGCTTTTGTCCAGGGTCAAGTCTTAGAAGGTCAAGTAATAGAAGTCTTAGAAAGTCAAGTAATAGAAGAAAACACTGGGTCTTGTGGTTTACAGATGAAATCCCAGCTACTCAGGGAGCAGAGGCAGGAAGATTAAGTGTTAGAGGCCAGCACAGACATGATTAGCAAGACCCTGTTTCAAAAACAAAATACAGTGCAAAGACCTGGAAGTGTGTCTAAAGGAGTACTTGGCTAGCATGCACTAGATCCTATGTATAATCCCCTTTACTGCAAGAAAAAAAGAAAAGAAAGAAAGCAACCATTCCTAGGACAATGAATAAATCAGTCTGACTGAAAGAAAAGTTTCATTTTGGAGATTCAA